TATATGTAGGGTCACTGTGAAGTGTAAATAGATGATAATGACTTAATGTAGATCTCCTGGGGGAAGGGGAGGTGCTCTGCCTTGAATATAGACATACAAGCATTTAGGCAATGTGATTCGTAAGGAATGGAGGTAATTTTGGACAAAGGGACTTTGCGGTCCCCTTAAAGTCCCATTTTGTGACTAGTTCTCTATAGTCATGCCCTGTTTAACACCTTTTTAATGCTTCCTTTCAAAAAGCAAATGCAAAGGTGAAAAAGTATCATAGTCCATTCGTAGGGAACTAGTTCGGTGTGGCCAGACCATGAGCTGCTTGCTTGAGCAGAGTGGTGGGAAATGATGCTGATAAAACTGGCAGGAACGACATCCTAACTATGTGTGTACATGGGAGTCTGGACTTAATTCTGCAGGTGAGGGGTACCCACTGAATCAGGAAGACACAGAATCAGATTTGTGTTTTTGGAGGGTCACTGTGGTGTGAAGGTGTGTAGGATGAATTGGGATGGCGACAGAACCAGAGGGGTTCACTGAAGGGGTCTTTCTGAGGCCCTGACTGGTGCCTTTTATTCTTGTGTTCATATCTTCCATCTCATGGGCCTTATTGGCTCCATCTGTTTCTTTTATACCATCATCTTCTCTGTCCACCGGGGTACATTTCTTCACAAAACTCCCTAAAAATTGGGACATTGATGTCTCTGGTCCCCATATTCTTGTTATGCACAGGCCTTTCTTAATTGAAATATAGCAGACATACATTATATTAGTTTCAAGTGTACAGCAGGATGATTTGGTGTATGTGTATGTTGTAAAACAGTCATAAGTCATGTTTACACTCATTATCAAACATAGTTACAATTTTTTTCTTATAAAAACTTGATTTATTCTCCCAGCAATTTTCAAATATACATGGAGTATTATTAACTATAGTTACCGTCCCGTTCATTACATTCCTAGGACTTAGAACTGAAAGTTTGTTTCTAGGCCCTCTTTATTGTGATGACTTTATTCCTAACTGTTATTGTAAATTAGGTAAGGGCTAACAAAAATCATAATCAGGGCAGCCGGGGTGGCTCAGCGGTTTAGCCCTTTGGCCCAGGGCGTGATCCTGGAGACCCGGGATCCAGTCCCACGTTGGGCTCCCTGCATGGAGCCTGCTTCTCCCTCTGCCTGTGTCTCTGCCTCTCCCTCTCTCTCTTTGTGTCTCTCATGAATAAATAAATGAAATCTTTAAAAAAAAAATCACAATCATGGGGACATTTAAAAATCTTTTTTTTTAAAAGGATTCTATCCATTTATTTGAGAGAGAAAGTATGCACAGTGCACATGTGAGTGGGGCATGGGGCAGAAGGAGAGAATCTTTAAGCGGACTACCCCATGAGTAGAGAGCCCCACATGGGGCTCGATCCCGTGACCCATGAGATCATGACCTAAGCTGAAACCAAGAGTCTGAGGCTTAGTCGACTAAGCCACTCAGGCACCCCCATTTAAAAAATCTTATAAACCTATTTTAATTATGGTTCTTCCTTTCTTTAGAAATGGCAGATGGAAGCCCTTATGGCTTCTGCCCATCAGGCTGTTTGGCATGGAGGAGACTGAGAGCCATCAGGTTTAACAGGACGGATTGTGAACAGAGAAATGGACACACATCATTCCTTTTTTTTTTTTTTTTAAGTTCAGTTAGTTCAGAACTTTTGATGAGGAGAGAAAATCTTTTCCATTTCTTCAGCTGTTTGAATTAGACCCAGATGTCCCATTTCCTTCACAGATCATTTATTTTCTTCTCTAGCCCCTATTCCCAAAGGTCCAGCTAAGGCACAGCTCTGCAGAGATGGGGGTCAGACAAACAGAGTTCTTTCACATTAGTGTCTTGGCTGGAGCATAGTTATAAAGGGCTCTTTGTTGCCTTGGGTTGGGAAAATATTGGCTTTCAAAGTTTCTCTCACCTCTTCCTTGCCATACATCCTGCTGGGCAGAAGGCCATCAGGCTTCCAGTTGGCATGTCTAAAGAAATGAAGAACCCACAGTATTATTAACTATAATCACCAAAGAGGCAAAGTATGATTACAGTGTTTGAACAATATCTTTGTGCACCGCTCACAACCCTGTTGATGCCAGAAAGAAAGTGCCAGCAGCTAACACCGATGTTCTCGTGCTCAAACTAAAGGACTATGGAACCCTTTGCTTTTCTCTTCTGTTTGTTACCTTGACTCCTTGGCAACATCACCCTGGTCTTGCTAGAAACTTAGATGAGGGTTGTGTGGCTAAGAAGTACATCCACAGTCTTTTGCCTCTTGAACTAAGAAATGTGTATTAACAAGCAGCTCACTGTTTTTTGTTTTTTGTTTTTAAACGTTGCTCTGGGGTTGTTTAGGGGCTTAAGGGCCTGAAATGTTAAAGGGCTCTTAGGCGATAAATACTTCATTTAAATGTAACATTTCTAGCCTCTCTTGAGGCAAGTAATAAAAAGGCATTTTTTGGGAGGCATCTGGGTATCTCAGTGGTTGATCATCTGCCTTTGGCTCACGTCATTATCCCCCGGTCCTGGGACTGAAGCTCTCTGTGTGTGTCTCTCATGAATAACTAAAATCTTAAAAAGAAAACCATATATATTTTTTCCCTTTAAGAGAATCTGAAAAGCCTTTTCTTTGTTCACTTGATCATATAACCAGCCATAGGAAGTCAGTTCTGCTAATATGGCTTTTTTCACTCATTGAAAAACTTTTTTAAAAAGAGTTTTATTCTTTTATTTTTTTAAGTACTCTCTACTCTCAATGTGGGTCTCAAACCCATGACCCCCAAGATCAGGAGTCGCAGGCTCCACTGACAGCCAGCCAAGCGCCACAAAAACATTTTCAGGTACTGTGTTGTGCCAGGGTTTATACTAGGTGTTGGAGGTGCAAAGGCTTGTTCTGGCCTCAAGGAACAGCCCGGTAGGGAAACACACAAAAAGTAATAAAATGTCACAAGTATATTGATTTAAAGGGGGCAATTCGGGTAGCCCTGGTGGCACAGCGGTTTGGCGCCGCCTGCAGCCTGGGTTGTGATCCTGGAGACCGGGGATCGAGTCCCACATCGGGCTCCCTGCATGGAGCCTGCTTCTCCCTCTGCCTGTGTCTCTGCCTCTCTCCCTCTGTGTCTATGAATAAATAAATAAAATCTTAAAAAAAAAAAATAAAGGGGGCAATTCAAAGAATCAGAGGTTGATCCACGTCCTTAAGCCCATCTGGGGAGACAATCGGTTTTCCCCAACAGGTGGCAGGCAGAGAGGGGGTGGGGATTCCGCGAATACTCCTACGTGGAAAATAGTGGGGGACAAAGGCCTGGTGGGGAAACGGGGCATGAAGGGCTGGAAGGTGGGGTGGGACGGGAGCCAGCGTGCAAGGACCGGGTATCTCGGGCCAGGGGTCGGGGGCTGTTCTCTGTGCCAATCAAGTTTTTATTTGATCATAATCTAGAGCCATTAATAGTTAGATGACCACCTCCAGGTGGCTAGAGGTCCCACGGACACCTTCCTAGAGCAAGCGCTCTGGTAACAGATTCTCAGAAACCTCATCTCTCTCTGGTTAAGTGTCTCTTGGGCAGGAGTCGGGGGGGGGGGGGGGGGCTTTGATTCACAGAACTAAGGGTCAGTGTCTGGGCAGTTCCTGGCCCTCGGGTGGCCGCGGGAGCCGGGGCCAGCACAGCTCCGCAAGGCCGGGAGCTTAGGGCCCTGGCGCTGGGCTCGGCCTCGCTGGGGGCCCGGGGGTGCGGGGTACCCGGGCGGGGGTGCGGGGGGGGGTGCGGAGGGAGTGCGGGCTATGGGGGGGAGGGGGTGCGGGATGCGGGGGGGCCGGAAGGGGTGCGGGATGCGGGGGGGCGGAAGGGGTGCGGGATGCGGGGGGGCGGAAGGGGTGCGGGATGCGGGGGGGCGGAAGAGGTGCGGAGTATGGGGGGGCGGAGGGGGCGCGGGATGCGGGGGGGCGGAAGGGATGCGGGGTATGGAGGGACGGAGGGGGTGCGGGATGTGGGGGGGCCGGAAGGGGTGCGGGGTATGGGGGGGACGGAGGAAGGGGTGCGGGATGCGGGGGGGGCGGAAGGGGTGCGGGGTATGGGGGGACAGAGGGGGTGCGGGATGCGGGGGGGCGGAAGGGGTGCGGGGTATGGGGGGCGGAGGGGGTGCGGGGTATGGGGGGGACGGAGGGGGTGCGGGATGCGGGGGGGTGGAAGGGGTGCGGGATGCGGGGGGCGGAAGGGGTGCGGGGTATGGGGGGGACAGAGGGGGTGCGGGGTATGGGGGGGACAGAGGGGTGCGGGGTATGGGGGGGACAGAGGGGGTGCGGGGTATGGGGGGGCGGAGGGGGTGCGGGGTATGGGGGGGACGGAGGGGGTGCGGGGTATGGGGGGACGGAGGGGGTGCGGGATGCGGGGGGGCGGAAGGGGTGCGGGATGCGGGGGGGCGGAGGGGTAAGGGATGCGGGGGGGCGGAAGGGGTGTGGGGTATGGGGGGACGGAGGGGGTGCGGGGTTCGGGGCCGGGGCCGGGGGCCGCGCCTGCCACAGCCCGCGTAGGTCGGGCGCGGGGTCTGCGGGGCCCGGGAGGACGCGGCCGCGCAGGGCGCTGGGCGTGGAGGCCTGCGGCGCCGCCCCCGGCTCGCGGGGTTTTCGTGGCGGCTCCTGGGCTGCGCGCCCGCCCCCCCCACCCTCGGTGCTCCCCCCCCATTGCTCCTCCCGCCGGGCCGGCCGCGCGGCAGGCTGGTGGCGCCCGCGGCTGCGCACGCGTCCCCGCTGCCCGCTGCCCGCTCCCCGCTCCCGGCTCCCCGCGGCCGACTGCCCCCGCGGCTGCCACGTCTCCGCCGCCCGCTGGCCTGCGCGTGCGTGCGCCCGGGGGCGGGGCGGGGCGGCGGGGGGCGGGGCCGGCGTGAGCGGCGCGGGCGCGGGCCAATGGGGGCGGCGGGCGGCGGCGGCGGCGGCGCGGTGCGCGCGGGGGGCGGGGCCGGCGGCAGTTGCAGGCGCGCCCGGGAGGCCAACCGCGCGGGCGTCGCTTGGGCCGTCGCATCCCCGCGGGTCGCGTCGCCGGGCCCGGGCCCCCTCCTCGCCGGCCGCGCCGGAGGCTCGTGTGCGCTCCCGCCGCCCGCCGCCCGCCGCCCGCCGCGGGCCGGGCCGCCTGCATCATGTGCGGTAAGGGGGCTGCGGGCGGGGGGCGTGTGCGGGCGGGGGCGGGGGCGCGGGCGGCGGGCGCGGGCGGCGGGCGGGCCCGGGGCGGCCTGGGGGCCGGGGGCGCGCGGGGAAGGGAGCGGCGGGGCGGCCCCGCGTCCCGGGGGCGGCGACGGGCGAGGGAAGGCGGCCGGGCGGCGTGGCCTGCGAGGACCCGGGCGGGCGAGCGGGGCCACCTGTGGAGCGGCGGGGGAGCCCTCGGACCTGCCCTGCGCCCGCCCGCGCTCTCCTTCCTGGACCGGCCCCGCAGCCGCCCGCTCCGGGCAGACCCCGGGGAGCCGCCGCGCGCCGCACCACCCCGCCCCGCCCCGCCCCCGCCGCCGCCCGGGACCGCCACCGCAGCGCCGGCCCGAGGGGAGCCCCCGACCTGCCCGCCTGCCCACCTGCCACCTGCGGGCCGCGCCCGTGCTCCCATCGGAAGCGCCCGCCCCCGGGACCGCGGCCCTAACCTGGGGAGAGCTGCCCACCTGAGGGCCGCGCTGGTGCTCGCGTCGGAAGCCCCCGGGACCGCGGCCCTAACCTGGGGAGCGCCCCCCACCTGTCCACCTGCCACCTGCGGGCCGCGCCCGTGCTCCCGTCGGAAGCGCCCGCCCCCGGGACCGCGGCCCTAACCTGGGGAGCGCCCCCCACCTGCCCACCTGCCACCTGCGGGCCGCGCCCGTGCTCCCGTCGGAAGCGCCCGCTCCCGGGACCGCGGCCCTAACCTGGGGAGCGCCCCCCACCTGCCCACCTGCCACCTGCGGGCCGCGCCCGTGCTCCCGTCGGAAGCGCCCGCCCCCGGGACCGCGGCCCTAACCTGGGGAGCGCCCCCCCACCTGCCCACCTGCGGCCGCGCCGGTGCTCCCGTCGGAAGCGCCCCGCCCACCAGCGACGATAAACGTTTCTCCGAGAGCAGTTAAAAGGCAGCTCGTCGCCCTCGGCGACCCGGGGCTCAGCAGTTCCCATGTCAGCCTAAAGCCCATCCTGACAGGCAGTGTCGCAGTCACGTCCGAAGGGATGGACAGGCCCCAGAATAGGGATTTAATCGGCCGCTGTCGTAAGCCTGGGAGAAGGAAGGCTCTTTTAAGGGACGTGGGGTTGTAAAAGAAGCGACGCTACCTGGGCATCTTGTGCTTTTTTTTTTTTTTTTTTGTATATTTTTTTTTATTGGAGTTCAGATTGCCGACATAGAGCGTAACACCCGGTGCTCATCCCGCCAGGTGCCCCCTCGGTGCCCGTATTCCTCACGGCCCTTTGGGAGAACATCCCAGCAGGATGTGGCTTGTACTCAGTAGTGTCGATTTTTCCTGTATCGTATTGAAACTTTTTTTTTTTAAAGATTTTGTTTGATTATTCACAAGAGACATTCACACACATAGAGGCAGAGACACAGGCAGAGGGAGAAGCAGGCCCCACGCAGGGAGTCCGACGTGGGAGTTGATCCAGGGTCTCCAGGGTCACGCCCTCGGCGGAAGCCGGCGCTAACCCGCTGAGCCACCTGGGCTGCCCCCTGTGTTGAAACTTTATGATAGTTTCAGCTTCTGAAAATGAGGAGCACTTTTACATTCAGAGTAGATCGAAAAGACAAAACAGAAACATCTATAAATTATTTCTGAAATTATTAGACTAGGGCTGACCTAAGGGTCAGTTATGCTTTGGCTGTGTCTGGTTAGTAGAGTGGTTTTGAGAAACACATTATTTAGTTTGTGGCTGTGAAGTAGTGAATCTGCAAAACCGGTTAATCCCTAAGACGCTTCATTTGGTCATTGACTTTTCCGGAATGATGAGGCGTGTGCCTAGGTGAGTACGTGGCGTTCTGGTTGCAGGTGGTTTCTTCTTCATCCTGTTTCAGGAAAGAGAGAGAGTACCATAAAAAAAAAAAAAAGTCAGATTTGCTTTAGAAAGGTTCAGATAAGGGTGAAGCTTTGGGGTGGAGACTAGATAAGTAGTTTTCACACAGCCACCGTGCCCATTTCATAATTTTACTGCTCAGGAAACGCACTGGTTATAAAGAAATAGTACTTGAAACATTTCCAAGGTGCTGCTTTTAACTCAGAGCAGAGTTTTGCATGATTCCAGGAATAGAGTTCAGGATTTATTTCTTCTTTAATGTAAATTCTGAAACTTAACTGTCAAGAGGATGAGACTTTGTATTTATATTCTTCCCATATCTCAATCATTGAAATAAAATTTTTTTTAAAAGATTTTATTTATTCATGAGAGACACATGTCGGGGGGGGGGTGGAGAGAGAGAGAGAGGCAGAGATACAGGCAGGCTCCATGCAGGGAACCCGACACCGGACTTGATCCCCGGAACTCCAGGACCACGCCCTGAGCCGAAGGCAGACGCTCAGCCGCTGAGCCACCCAGGCGTCCCTGAAATAAAATTTCTAGACAGAGGAAGTGAGTGGGAATGAGATTAGATAGGAACATATAGAGGTTTACCTTCTTTTTCATCTAACTCCAGCATAGTTAGCATACAGTGTTACATTAGTTTCAGGTGTACAGGGCAGTGATTGAAGGATTTCATACCTCATCCAGTGATCAGTGATCGGTCACGGACAAGTGCACCCCTTAATCTCCATCTGCTATTTCACCCATTCCCCACCCATGGAAGTTTACCTTCTGATTACCTGCTGCCTATTCCAAGTTTTTCTAAAAGAGCATTTTGTTTCAACACCATACAATGTTGAAGAAGAACGAAGGTGGAAAATTCTGTGATACACTTTTTCCAATCAGATATACTGATAAAACTGTCAAAATGTTTACCAGCTTGTGTTGGGAGGTTAATAGTGTTAATCAGGAAAAAAAAATAGATTTGAGCCAAGTAAATTTGGGAAGCAGTAGATTAAAACAGTGTTGAACTTTGGCTTTTTTTTTTTTTTTTTTTGAGGATTTCTTGGAACCTTTAGTGGGCTAATAAGTGCTGTGAATCTCCCAGAAAAGAATAGTGTGCTTGTTTTCCAACTTAATTTTCTCTTCCTCTTATTCTTGGTTCTTTAGAATACACTCTGTCGTTTTTGATTTGTACTGCCTTTTGTTTTGGTAAGAGAATGGCAAGTCACTTAAGCTACCCACAGCTTTTAACAGATTGGGCTGCTGTATTATAATCAATGTAGGGTTATACTGTTCTTTTTTTTCTTCTGATTTCTTTTTGTGTGTTACTCAAATGCATTTTTATGTATTTATTTATTTTTCAAATGCATTTTTAGATTTAGCTTTCTGATTCTGTGCTTGTTCCTTCCACATGTTCAAAACAATGTTCTCCTCTGTAAGCAAAACATGCTTGATCCAGTCACTGACACAGCACACATGGAATCACCACAGTCTCTGCTAATGTGTTTTTTCATCTTAGACAACCTCATAAGAACTGTAGGTCTCACAGCACAAACGCCTGGAGGTTGGCCTGGGCCAACATGTGGATTTTGGTGCTTTTCCAACCTCCTTGGTATAAACGTAAAACAGTACTATTACCAGGGGTTTGGGACAGCCTACTTTTGTTAGATGCTGTATTATAGGGCAGCCTATGATGGATGATATGTCAAACATGGGACCATTCTGGAATGGCTCTAGACATTGTCCCTGGAAGACATATCCCTTCTGATCCAATGGTGTGTATATAAGTGGAATTTTTGTAAGTGAGGCCTTATTTATTTATTTATTTATTTATTTATTTATTTATTTATTTATTTATTTATTTATAAAGATTTATTTATTTATTTATGATAGAGAGAGAGAGAGAGAGAGAGAGAGAGAGAGAGGCAGAGACACAGGAGGATGGAGAAGCAGGCTCCATGCCGGGAGCCCGACGCGGGACTCGATCCCAGGACTCCAGGATCGCGCCCTGGACCAAAGGCAGGCGCTAAACCGCTGAGCCACCCAGGGATCCCCGTGAGGCCATATTTAAAAGCAGTAAGGGAGCTTACAGTTTAAAAGTATCCTGAAATAAATCCTTAAAAAGATTTTTGTAATAACACTAATAGACTTGGAGATATTTGAGGGATGCTGTGATGGGCTGCTAGGATAAACCATAAAACCAATACCTTTAACATATCCTCCTTGGAAATCATACTGGATATAAAGTAATTGTGAAAGAAAATAATTAACTGTTTAATAAGTATTTCCTCAAATATGTTCCCTGGAAAGGGAGAAGTTAATAGGTGCTGGTTATGAGCAGTGGAAGGTGGGAAAGAGTTTTACAACACAGCTGTGGGAAATTCTGCTTTTGGAGATTCGCAAGTAGCAAGAATAAAGTTTCTAGAAAGTTCTACAAATAAACTTGTTAACTTTAACCCAGTATTTCTTTTTTTTTAAAATTTTTATTTATTTATGATAGTCACACAGAATGAGAGAGAGAGGCAGAGACACAGGCAGAGGGAGAAGCAGGCCCCATGCACCAGGAGCCCAACGTGGAATTCGATCCCGGGTCTCCAGGATCGCGCCCTGGGCCAAAGGCAGGCGCCAAACCGCTGCGCCACTCAGGGATCCCCTAACCCAGCAGGCGCCAAACCGCTGCGCCACTCAGGGATCCCCTAACCCAGTATTTCTTAAACCTTTAATTATGGAACATTTCTTTTACCTCATCCCTATTTAGCATTCTGCAAAATAGTGTTCTCTTTCTGTAGTTTAGGAATTTTTGTACGTTTCAAGTACCTAGAAAGCATTAGAAGATATTGGAAGTGAAGGCTTTATACTTGGTTTGTCCATTGGAGAGATGACTAAAATAAGGAAATTGCCTTGAAGGAGTTGCTGTCTGGTTGGAGGAAACAGTGAATACACAGGTACAACAAGGAATGCAACAGGTGTGTTACTAGGCATTTCTTGTTCACTGTTCCTTGTCATATTTGGACTACAAGTGGATTGAATAGAAATTCAGGGACTAGTTGGGGCAGGAATGTTTCAGGTAACAGGGCAGTACTTTTTTTCTTTTTTTTTTTTAAGATTTTTTTTTTTTTTTAAGTAATCTTTATATCCAATGTGGGCCT